CAACAAAAAGAATAAAACAAACTGCGGACAAGGGACAACAAACATTTCTTTTTCTTGCGTTGGCTTACATACTGTACTTTCGGAGGATCATCCTTCGTATCAAGCATGTCCAGCCGTCGATACACTTTGAATAATCCGGTTCAAAAACTATGTGTTGCGATCGGGACCGCGTCAAACTTTGAAATATGCGATAATTCGTAAGAAGCGATTTCGTTATAACGAGGGATTACTGCACATCGTCTGAAAGCACGTTCATAACCTGTGGTTCGCTTCTTTTATAAGGTCGCTGTTCTGTACTCCAGCGGTTGGCAGCCAATGGTGGCCGAGCTGCCAACGAACGTCACACGTCCTGGCTCCGCCCTATTCATCCCTTTGAGTTGCACAGCCACCCACACAATGTCGCGGAAGACTAATTTCTCATTGTGGCGCCGAGGCACCCTCGCACTTGCGAAGCCAAGGCGAGGAGGCGACGATAATGGGTCTGTTGTCAGCCCGTGAGACATTCATTGTGATGGCTCCCCTCCATTAGGCGGCGTCATGGCTCAGGAAGGGGATTGGCCAGATAATCTGCGGGTGGTGTGAGATGATAAACTGAACTGAAGGCCCCTGTTAGAGGAAAGGTTGACCTTCACGGAAGTCCACATCGGGAGCTTGCCCCGTCCATTGTGACTCAGGTCTGATCTCAGCAATCGGCGCTGTCGCTTGGAATCCTCACCCGGTAAACTGCCGTGGTGGTCTCCGCTCACCCTCCTGTGAATAGGCGGCTTAACTTCTCGCCCAGGTATTGTGACGTCAACATGGCACCGGGCGAGGTAGCCAGTATTCGACGGCCCAGGACGGCACACCGCTGCTGGGGGGCAAGAAGTGGGGGACGAAGAAGAAGGTGTGACCTTGATGAAGGCCCATCGCAACACCCCCCTGCGAGTGTCGCCAAACACCTCGCGGAATTTTGCGAGCAGCAAACTGTACCCTTCTCCCAGTTTTCTGAGAATGGTTCCTGACCTTCAACCTTGAACTCCAACATAGCGTTCGTTGGATTGCCTTGGTCGCTGGAATGCAGTACGCCATCCTCGGCACCAATTTTCTCTAGAGCTTTAGATTATTGGTGGATGTTTTGCACAAATGCTTTTAGGATGCAACAGTGCATCTCTCAGTTTAGGGGACAGCATTCAGAATGCCGTCACTCTGCCTCGTGCATGTTTTAGAGAATGATACCTACTGTTTTTCTAGCATTCCCAAGGTGGTCCTTGACCTTGCTCACCCTTTCAACACCAAGGCTCGTGTGACACCTTGTTGCACATCACATGAAAACCTCGGGACCTGCTGTGCACGCATGATGACGACTCTCCCCGGACAAACTGTAGATCGCTCGCCAACAGTTCTAGCATATGCTTAACCTCAGAATCATCTGTCCATCTGAGTGTGCATGGTCATCGATGTTGTGCATGGTTCTGAAAGCAATCCCTGGGGAATGGCAATTATGTGAGGACCGCCAAGCTTTGAATTGGATCGCGACAGCCGATCACTGTCTGGTGCCTCGCATCTGTGGCTTCACAGCTTCTCTCAATGGCACCACTATATGTTTGAAGAGTGATTTGTTTGGCCAAATTCCAGTTGAACCAGCTGACATTGTAGAGACCTTAATCGCTACACTATTTGGCCTCTTTAGATTTGTCAGAATGGAATTTGGAGTCTAAAAGACTGCACAAACATTTCAGCCTTTCATTGATCAGGTGCTGCGCAGTCTGCCATTCTGTTGTGCCTACCTTGACAACATCCTCGTGCAAGTGGTTCTGCCGAAGATCACGCATAACGTCCATGTATGCTTTTCGCTTCCCTCGCGTACCATGGGATCATTGTCATTGCAGGCAAGTGTGTGTCACCAGGGATGAATTGGAGTTCCTTGGACACAAAATCAGCACACTGGGCATTCCTTCCCTTGAAACCAAATTCCAAGTTATCCAGGAGTTCCCCTAGCCAATTCACAGAAAGCGGCTACTTGAGTTTTGTGTACGATCAGTTTCTACGGTGGCTTTCTGTCTAACTGCGCCAAGGAATTTAAACCACTCACCAGCAAGTTGAGAAAAGCGGAATCCAGCGACAAAACTTCAGGGGGACGATCGTTTCAGCCAGGCATTTCACCGCGCAAGGGGGCTCCGACCATGATGGTGGTCTCCCCTCGGGAAAAACACGTCGCTTGCCTAGGGGATCGACGCCACTGCAGTGTGGCTGCAGGCGGTGAACAAATACCCTCAGCTTTTGTTGTTTTTCTCTCACAAACTCAGTTGGGAATCGCTGGTAGTGTATTTGATGGTAAGGTATTTCTGCCATTTTGTAGTAGGTTGTAACTTCGCTGCAGTGATTGATCACAAACCACTTGTGCATGCCTTCCGTAGCTTACCAACGGATTTTGGACCTCATTCTCAACGGGAGCTGCAACAAAAAAATGTTCCACATTGTTGAATTTACACCTAATATTTGCCACATTCAAGCTTGCAACAATGTCACCACCGACGTGCTCTCCAAAGCAAACATTTGCAAGCTGGGATCCTCTGGAATTGAATTTCGTTGCTATGGCACATGCTCAGCAAACGGGCAGCGAGCTGCTGTACCTGCGTGATGTACCAGATGTGCTAGAGTTCTGAATGATCGAACTACCAGTGTGTAATTCGGAGCTTCTTTGCACCTCCCTACATGCTTGAACCTTATTTGCCACTCCAACTAATTATAGGTGGCGCCACTCATTTTCCAAAGTGGCGGTTATAGTGAGGGTAGGAGATGCGTGCCGCTGTTAAGCCTGTCTAGTGTGCTGGCTTCACTGAGCGACACAAATTATTTCTGGTAGTACGAGGGTGTTAGCAGCGCATGTCACCTCTTTATCCTGAAAACAAAAGCGGTGTTTAGCATAATATTTACGCAAGGATGAACATTTTAATTCTGGAGCGAAACCGAAACTAACCTGTATTTCGGATTTAATTTCTTGGTATAGGTCTTAATTTCGGATTCTTTCATAACTCAAGATGTGTCTCACATCGTAATTATTTAGTTAGAGAAGTTTCGTGGAAACTTTATTTTGTGACATACATGTTTGATCCAGGCTGATATTTGTATTGACTGATACTTCTTCAGCTGAATTGGGCATTTGCACCCTTGTCTTTGGTAATGCTACCTATTCGACAACAAAACTTTCAAACAAATGTTGCTTTAATGAATGTTGATACTTCAAAATCACTGAAATCATCGATCCTTACCCCTCCCCACCCCATCCTGCACCTGCGCAGGGTGAGGTGTAGAGAGAGAACCTTTAGCTGCCCCTCCCTTCCTCTTGTGATCATAGCTTTTCTTATAAAAACACAACCTTGCCCTCCTCTAAGAACTGAAAACTTGAACAGTGGCTTTTGTCGTAATTCAAAATTACAATGGCCCGTTGTCCTGCACAAAACTTGACAAGATAAACAGTGTATCCCCCTTTGTCAGTAGACTGAAATTTAAAAAGAAACTGGAGATGCCTCGCCTCAGGACCTCTGACCCTGTGCTCTGGCCAAGCTTATTTGTAAAGTACCATGGTTTTTTTGTTTTTTTTTTATGCCTTTGTGACATCGAAATTTTTAAGTTTTTTGATAAATCCGAATAGACGAAAATTGTACAGGCAAGTGCTTTTCAGATTTTATCAGATTTTTCCGACAACATGAAATCCTAGGCATAACTTATGAATGGGGTAATTTGATATTTTGTTTATACTGATTTTGTTACAAATGGGTTAGACCGCATTTAAAAGATACAAAGATCCTTGAGTAGTAGTTTAGTTGTGTGCTTTAAGGGAACACACCCCCTAGAAGGGTCAACTTTTGGACCCGTGGCTTAACATTAATGACATTTACAGGGTAGGCTGGTGGTCATGCTAGAGGGTGCATAACAAAATTTCATGTCTGTCAGTTCAGTGGGAAGGAAATTAGGGCAGCTTTTATCAGCGACACGCCTACATTGTTTAGTTAATCTATCGTCAGAAAACTATCACGATATTCAAGATTTTCATTCGCTAGATATGTAGCAGAATGCCTAGAAGGTGCGGCTATGGAAAGCTTTTTGTAAAAAGTCTTTTATTTCTTTCAATTTTTTGTTCTGCAAAATTGGTCAACTTTTTGGTGTTCTGTGTCTTTAACAAACTGTCAACATTTTTTTATAAAAGACATCTGTAAAGTGACAAAAGCATTCCATATTAATTTTCAGTCAGGAAAAGTGACGAACGAGCCTTCCCTGTATTGCCATTATCAAACGATAGATTGACTAAAATGGAATTTATACCAAAAAGTGGAAGGGGGAAAAATGTGTTTAAAGTGCTCCAAACCCTACCTTTTCTTTAGCTTCGATGCACAGAAAATAATTTATAACAAATTAACTATGCAGTGTAAACTAGTGAAAATTTCTGGGAATACTCTCTGGATGTAGATGGATGTAAATATGTAATTTTTCAAAGTCAATGTTTTTTGCTGAATGTTTTTTTTCTGGGTAGTGTCCCCCCTTAAACCTGTTGGCTCCTAAAATAGCACAAATCTCCACTAGCAAAGGAATGCTTTTATGGCAAGCCAGATTGGAAAAGCAGTTTTTGGCTATTGCTTTTCCCACAAATGAAGATCAAAATCTTGCTGTAAATGGCGGTATATTTCCTTTACTTGTCAAAGAGTCACTTTTTCGAGTGTTTCCTGAGCTACGATATGAGCTAAACTGCTTCATAGACTACAGATATTACTTAATATTAGGAATATGCCTCTGCAGTAAATATTTCATAATTACTTTCTTAGTCGTGAAATTCGCACAAATTAAGTCGCAGTAATAAGTAGTATTCTTTAAAGATTACTGCATGTATACCACTTTACCCTTGCAGTTGCCATACCACCATTGTTTTCTCGGTAGATTCAGCAAGTGTTGTGGCACTCTGAACACTCTCCACTCGAGCTGCACAGAAGGTTGCCTTTGCAAGTCTCTCGTCTTTCACGCAGCACCTGAAATTGGGCCTGAAAGGCTTCCCGCTGATCATCGACGGCGAGCTCTACAACAACATCAAGGTGGAAGAGAGCTGTTGGATCCTGGAAGACACAAAAACCATCCTAGTCACAATGGAAAAGGTAATTCGAGCTGGCCCCTGGTTTTTGATAGCTTTCTTTTGTCTAGCCCTGTAAACAGAGGGCTCCCTGCATGAATGGACATACCACCTCACATTCGCATATCGTTGTCTTGTTTTTGCAGGTCAACAAGATGGAGTGGTGGAACCGTCTGGTCATGACAGACCCCGAGCTGAACACCCAGAAAGTGAATCCTGAGCCCTCAAAGGTATGAATTTGATTCCTGTTATATACTAGTTCGAATAAACCTGTATTATATGACTTAGAAAAGCCCTTCACAGTTTTAACTGAAGTGTTCAAGCTCCAGTACTTGCGAAGCACAAAAAAAAACAAAAAAACACACATTTCTTTTGCAGCAGTGATGAGGCTGGCTGTTGCAATTTTGCGAAAGATGAGTGCGAGTAGAGATCCTGAGCATTGTACAGATGAGTCAGCCATAGATGAGACAAAATAGGAAAAGGGATCACATTCAAAGAATAGTGATCTTGCGACAATGGAAAGACAGTGCCTTGTCATTCCTGTCACTCGAACATAGTTGCAGGTATGAGGCTCAAAAGGAGGCATTATTTTGGGGCACGCAAAGGTGTGGCTAAATGCTCTGGTTCCTACAGAATATATAGAAAACATAATTGTTTGACCCTTAATTAGCATGTTTTATTTGTCACAAGCTTTTAACATTAGCTGATGGGATGAAAGCATGGTGTGTCCTGCTCTTCGATTTCCTACGTTAGCAGGTGAAAGGAATTCCACACTTGCCTTGATTACTTCGCATTATTTTTGCATTGGTGAGTGCAACAAAAATGCTTGCTTCGACAGATTTGAGCAAGCCCTTTGGCTGTGGACTTGGGGGGGGGGGGGGGGGGGGTGATGCACGAAGAGTGCCGTTAGCAGAGAAACATCTGTTAGCTTGTGCATCTGTGGTATGAGCATGTACAGTCGCCAACTGATTTTTGCGGATGCCGATAATTCAATCTTGTTTGTTTTTTCACACCTAAGGGTGGAACCGTAGCCTACCTAATAGAAATAGCGCATATTGTCACGAATGACAATTGGTGAGGCGACGAAGACTAAAGCAAACTAAATGTTTAATGGGGCAAACTTGGGCCCAAAACAAACTAAAACAAGGTTAGCATTGCAGTCATCGATGGTGGCAAAACAGCAGGATCGAATGCTGGGGCGTGACTGACTCCGGCCCGCCATATGGAGCCCCTTTTGTACAGCTGTGGGCTTCTGGAACAATCGGCGTAGAAGATTCATTGCATAGAACAATCTGTCCTCGAACAGAAGACAAGGTTCTCGAACTTATGAGAATGCTAAATTGAAAAAATAAATAAAAGACGCACCATTTCCAGGAATCAAACCCGGGGCCTCCGCACGAAAGCCAAGCACTGTAACCACTTGGCGACGCACGCACCCGCTCGCTCGGCGAGGCGCGTGACATTACTTCCTCTTTAAACTCGTTACCGCGGAAAAATGACTGATTTTCAGTGCTTCCAGTAAATATATTTTTCTCTAGAATTACTAGCTGCATTAAGCATTGCTATTTATCAAACTGTAGGTTATTAGCTGGGCATCATATTCAAACAAACGGCACTGTTATGAATGCAAACAGTTTCGAGAATTTATTTGTCAAATGAACAAGAAGTTGACAAAAACAACACAAACAGAAAACAAATGAGTGGCTGTACTGAGCCAGGAAATTGTTTTCGAAATTCTGAAATATACAAACTGTTGCAAGTGGCCCTAGCTATCATTTTAATATCTTTCAGTCCTGTACGCCATGTTTTGTATTTTTCGTGGCCAGCCAAGTTAGTGGCCTTGACGGTGTGCCACTAGAAAAGCAGTCACGCGAAGGCAGGAAGCAAAGATAATCTTTGCATGTGGCGCAGAAGACGTTTGTTCTGGACTGTGATTTTGTCTTTTGATAGCAGAGCTTGCAGTTTCTTCTCTTCTCCATTCTTTTTGGTTGGCGGCGAGCAGGGACCTGGGCTTCATCATACTCGAAGATCTGCTAAATTAGCTCTTTTCTAAATGCCAGCTGGTCAAAGTAGGCACTTCAGGAGAGTTCTAGGACGTTTGGGTTCTCTTTCTGGTGTTCTTGGAAGTGTATGAAACTTTTTAGCCATTCAGTGTCCACACAATGAAAAAACAATGTCTTCCTCCAACGCACTCGTCTCCTCAGGAGGTTGTATGTTCCAATAATTTGGTCTGACTTGTTGACTCCCAACATTCCAGTGTTGTATTCAGTGACCAGGAGTGGCTTTTTGATAGTCCTCAAAGTCCACTTGTCCCCTCTTTTCTCCCTTCATTGGGCTGGAACATGCTCGTTTGCTGTATGCATCGTGCTCATTAGGTTTACCGCACGCCTGTCTTTCCACTGCATGTAGAGGATGTTCCCTTCAAGAATCCATCTAACGTCTCCAAGCTGAGCCCTACTTTCCCATTTAGCATCTTTCAACTCGACTGGAAAACACCGACGATCTTTGGGAGTTGTGCCGCATGCAAATGTCTTGCGTGGAAGGAGGGGGTCTAAAAGTTTCGTTGATGTATAGAAGTTGTCCAAGTAAATCTTGTACCCCTGATCAAGGTACTCCGTGCAGAGCCTGGTGACTACGTCAAAAGCTAGACCGTGGGGTCCTGGTGTCTCACGCTTGCCTGTGCACACAAGGAATTAAGAGTGTACCCTGTTCTTGAATCTGCCACCACTTTGTCACTTTGTCTCGAATGTATTGCATTATTCCTTATCGGGCTTTAAATTTTACCATGTGTTCATCAACGGAGAGATCACGCCGTGGTTGGAAAAATTTTGCTGATCTTTGATTGATGTGCTTCAAAAGCCAGTATACCTTCCAGGTTTTGCCAGCAGATGCTGCAGCTCCGAAGTCCTCCGGGTCTGATACGTGTGAGAACGCCAGCAGTGCAGAGAAGCGCTTTCTTGGCATAATATTTGGTGGGAGAAGGCCTCTGAATATTCAGTGAAGGTTCGTTTTCTTCTTAGGATTGCGTCAGGGACCCGATGACTGGGAACGCCGATGGTGTGCGGACGTTTATGGTCTAAAAAAATGACTGAAAGGACTCCATCAGTGAGAGAGAAATAAAAAGAAACGTCTATTTACAGTACAGATTGAAAGGTGGCCCGACCGACGTTCTTCCCGGCCCTCGCGCGTCTGTCTTCTTCTTCCTTCTCTTCGAGCCACAGCCGCGCCGCTCACTTTAAAGTCATTACTCAGAGAAAAGAAAGACGAAACCGAAACTACAGCCACTGTACCGAAACCCTGCGCACGTCGCGCCTCTGGATTTGTGGCCGTCATTTACGTTGACCTTCACACCTCCCCAACAAGTATAATTTTGGGGCCTCAATGTCACAAAATTATCACACACAAAAACAAAATGTCCGCCCGTCATACACTGGTCGCTCCTGTAAGGTGATTTTGAATGTGCCCGCCAAGGCTCTAAACACCCCGTTACTACCATAAGTGCCTTAAGGCTTGCATAATATGAACTAAAACCTGCATCTAAAAAATCTGCAAAGGCGTATGCGGAAAATATGCTCTCTCTAAACCAGGCTATTTTCCCGAAACCCGCAACTGCCCGTTCAGTCACACCAACAACAAAAATATCTCACCAACTTAAAGTATACAATCCATTTAAAAAGACACCCCAAAACTTCGGTTCGCGCATGCGCCGAACCAAAAACCATTGCTTGACAAAGCAGTCGCTCCTTCTCTATGCGGTCCGTGTGGACCATGTGGACCTCGTACTCCACCAGCTGGTCCATCTCGAAGGCTCTCAGCTGCGGCCCCCCGCCCCCAACCGGGAGCTCTGTGGCCTTGGCTTGTTTCTCTTTTGGGCTGGGCCAATCCTCCTCCTTGACAGGTTAGCCCTCGTCCACTTTGTCGGGGTCTCCACCCTGGGTCGGGGGTGCCTCTTCGCCAGTAGCCGCCCCAGCCACCGCTAGGTAGCCATCGTTTGCACGCCCAGCACTTGCCTGTCGACCGTCGGGCTTGCGGTCCACGGCCGAGGCGGACACCACCGAGAACGTGCCCCGCAGGTTTTGACGCACTTTCTCCTTGATCCCGAACGCCTCGCCCCCGGCCGCGGAGACAACCTTGTTCACCGTGAAGCTGCCCGGCTGCAGGTGCGCGTGGGGCACCGCCGCCTCCTGCAGGTACTTGGCCTCGAGGTTGAAAGGCTTGTTCCGGTAGAAGGTGAGCATCCTGCCGAGGGGCAGCTGGTGCCAACGGTGAAACACCTCTGCCCGGTTGTCCTATCCCTTGCCCGGGTCGTGGCACAGCTCGATGGAGTAAAGCTGGGCGTCCACCACCGCAAAGTCTCGCATCTTGAAGATGGGTGACAGCAAGACACACTGCAGGGCGCAGCCCCGGGCCATAACCTCGTCCTGGTGCGGTGTCGTCGAGGGCTTCCGTAGGAACACCTTGCAAACCAGCTGCTTGACCGCCGGCACCCAGGTACCGCCCCCGACTAGCTCCACCGACTCCACGTTTGTCGGCCGCAGCCCGGCCACCATCAGCGCCCACGCCATGGTACGCTCGGCACGCGCTAGCAGCTCGGTGGACATGGTCTCGAAGGTCTCCCGTTTCAGCTTGCCCGCAACGTCCCAGTCGTTCTTGTAGCACTCGATGTTGAGCGTCAAGTCGTGAGGGTTGGCACTCATCTGCTCCGGAATCGATAATCGCCTGCACCATCCTCGGGCCGCATTTCATCTCCGCTCTCCGCAAATCAGCGCGCGTACCATTCTGATTGACATTTATGTCCTGGGATATACTCTGCTGGGATGGTGTTAAATTTGTTGAGGTGTAACCCACCATGGAGTTATTCTTCAAGTCTCGGTCCCGCGCTTGTTTACTAGGACAGTCGCGGGAAAAATGTCCCATACCCTTGCAATTGAAACATTTCACCCTGGATCGGTTCGAAATTGAGCCCGGCCCTATCTTATCATGCTTTTTCCCGACAGGACTGGACCCTCTTTTCTTTTCAGACTCGCGGTTTTTCGCATATGCAGAGTTGTTGCGTTGTTTGCATCGTTCTCCCTCTTCAAAACGGTCAGCCAGCGCAGCCACCTCTGCTGGTTTAAGCCATTTTCCGGTCTCATTTAGCGTTACATAGGTCTGCATGTCGACAGGCAAGGAATCTCTAATGCGGTCAGAAACCATTAATGCTAGCAAGTCCTCAAGAGAGTCGATCGAG